TACTCCTTGTCACGTACAACCACGCCAGTTGTCTCAATGACAGACTTTATGATACAGCGCGCACGTGCTAACCATTCAGCCATCCAACCCCCCTTGGATTATTGAACCTTTGTTAATTATCGTGACAGTAGTAATAATGACAATCGAGTCTACAGTGGTTTCAAAATAAGGTTTTCTCGGTTTAGAGTGAATCAATTTGACTGAAATTTTCAGCATTTTACATTTACATTATCCAGCTTTTAACTATGATAATGAGAACTGTCAGCTCTCTACCTTATCTTCCATAATGTATCTTTAAAGTTACAATTTCATATTTTTAAGTTATATTTTTAAAATGTATTAAAATAAAGCCCTAAAATAGATAGTATCTATAAACAGTCCTACCTTGTTAAAGAATAATCCTATTAATCCTATAATTCACTTGCCAGTTGAGAAATTGGCAAAAATATCATTCTCAACTTCAAATTCAAACGTTTGAAGATAGCTACTCCATGGTGGAGAATAGAAAACAAGGGAGGTAATTATGTTATTATTTCCGGTGTAAATGAGTTTTAAGTGTGAGAATGACACGTATGATCGTATAATAGTGAATTGATAAGCCATTTAGCAAAAGACAGAAATAATTCTGTTTTGACTTTCTTAGAAAATATGAAATTGTAACTACAAGCTAAATCATGCATCGTCAAATTTTCTCCCCTCAGAACGGGAATTGGAAATTATAAGAGATCTCCATTATTTAATTAGTGAATAAAATCAAATGTCTTTGTTGATGGCGATTGTCATAAGAATGTATTTTACATTTTACAATCCCATCATTAATATTTTCGTGGACAACAAAATGGCGGCATAGCGAGTAATTTCAATTCCACATATATTAATACCTACTGGACGGAATTGGACCATTTCATTTTGTTGGGGGATCAGCCATTAGAAGCCATAGTTTCATTTCATTCTCGATGAAATTTTGGGAGATTGGAGATTTGAAGAGATCTTATCATACAACTAGTGAATACGAGACCTTTATCTTTCAGAACCGATGTCCCGTGTATACATTGTAATGCACGTAAAAGATCCCTTGGCAGTTGGAATTCGATATAAGAGTAGGCGATAGTGCCGCTGCCCGGGCAAAATATCCCTCATAGCACACTGTATGGCTTATGCCCGTCTTCATTAGCCCAGTATAGGAGCAGAATAGTAGGACGTTAAACCCCATTTCATTTTATCTTTCAGCTAATAAAACGGGGACAATGGCGACTTCTTCCGGTAATTTCACAATGCCTGTCAATGACTCGGGGAGAATTCAGCGCCATTATGACTACTTTCTCGAGAGAGTGTTCAATCCCGGTGACCTGATCACCAACTTATTCTCTAAAGGTGTTCTTGATCTTGACAGAAAAACCCGTATACTTAATACAGAGACCGGTAGACCTAGAGTAGAAAAGCTATTGGACATCTTAATGACAGAATGTGGTGATTGTTATCAGATATTCATAGAGACTTTAAGAGAAAGGGGTTTTGGACCTATAGCAGATACATTAGGTAAGATATCATTTGTAGTACCTATCCACACAATCATCGGATTAACATAAAGGATTGGTCGTAATGGCAAATGTCGTCGAATCACAAGTCGAACGTAGTTAATCTGGATTTAATTGATTTATTGTTATTCCCCCTGTCTATAATGTTGGTGTGAAATCGCCATCAATTTCATTAGACCGATCGTCCGTCCTCTTCGTTTCCAGAGTAGAAAGCGAACAACATTCACTATTTTTATAGAAAATTATTTAAACTCACCAATCGCGTGTTGTGGTGATGCCCTGTAATATATTGTCTATTTTTATGTGCATACAATTAGACTTAGTCTGGCCTTGAAGTGGGTCTCATTTCCGGATCGGATCTCGAGAATCATGTAATATTTCTTCCATTCTACACACATCTCCTAGTGTTCAAGTGTGTTATTTACCATTCAAAATTTTTAATTTTCCTTTTAAATGCGTACTGTTTAACATATTCGTGGAGAATGAATTCGCCTTAAATCCTTGAAAACATAATTCATGAGAGTTATTCCCCCTTGTTCGGAAATCTGATATATTATCTAAAAAGGGAGAGTGAGTGAAATGGAGTTAAACGTCCATTCGACAAAACTAGGTCATTTCGAAACTAACATATGGTTGAATTTTATTTCATTAATTCGCTAGCGCGTAGGGTCTTTAGCGGTGGGAGGAAACCGACGGAAGCGGAGAAAACCCACGAGGCTGGACAGGTGACTCTATTCCTTGCCATGTACAAGCGGCGGCGATTCGAAACCACACCGCTTGACTCCAAGACAGACCTTGTGATCAAACATGCACACGTTAACCATTCGGCTACCCAAACACCCTATATATACAAAGATTTGTCTATTAAAGATCAAAAATCGTGGGATCGGATCGAAACTTTATGGATTATGGCCTCTGATTGTACGAAAAATCACGTTGTTAGCTTGTGGACCTTCTAGAGGTCACAATTTTGAGCCGATTTTGATGAAACTTGAAATGAATTTTTATAACCCAAAGATCTTGGTTCCTTTCGATATTTGCGCATATCTGATCGCAACTTTCCGGATTATGACCTCTGATTGTTCGAAAAATCGCCCTTTTAGCTTGTCGTCTATCTGGAGGTCACAATTATTATCCGATTTACAAAACCGTTTAAATATCTCACCGTTACACCGTAAGGTTGGTTGAGTTCGAATTTCGTACAAATCGGACCGAAATAGCCGGACAAAATAACCGTCGCTTGTACGCTTAGTGTAAATAAATGGTATATCAAGGTTGTGGACCCTGCAGAGGTCACAATTTTAATTCGATTTTGACGAAACTTGAAATGCATGTTTATAACCCAACGATCTTGGTTGCCTTAGATATTCGTGCATAACGGATCGTAACTTCCTGAATTATGGCCCCTGGTTGTACGAAAAATCGCGTTTTTAGCTTGTGGTTCCTCTAGAGGTCGAAATGATAATCCGATTTAAAAAACGTTCAAACATTTCCTAATCGTTACACCGTAAGGTTGGTTGAGTTCGAATTTCGTGAAAATCGGACCAAAACTGCAAACAAAATGGCCGCCCCTCGTACGCAAATAGTGTAAACATCTGGTATATCAAGGTTGTATACCCTCTGGAGGTCACACTTTTGTGCTGATTTTGGTGAAACTTGAAATATATCTTTATCACCCAAAGATCGTGGTTCCTGTCGATATTCGCGCATATCGGATCGTAACTTTCTGAATTATGGCCCTTGATTGTTCGAAAAATCGCTTTTTGTTTAGCTTGTTCTCTATCCATCAATTGCAAAATGTGCGCGTATCCTGCCTGGCAGCCGCTGGTTTTTCTTCCCTTTCTGTTTCGCACTATTTTGCTTTAATGGCGAAGAAACGTGTAAAAATAACTTTATATAAAACATTCAGACTTTTTTAAATTTCAAATATGTCACAATAAGCTGAATTTGTCAGTACCATACTCACGCTTCCAAATTTGGAATATGTCACTATGCAATATTGGGAAATACAGTTTCAAGTAGCCAGCATCAAGAAGAAAAGAAATAACCTCTCAAAAATTAAGGCTTGAAATGTTATGAGCACAAAGTTACTCAACATCTTTAAATGTAGATGCAATTTCAAAAACATTCTACATTTTGGCTTACACATTAGTATATGTGCCCGAACAAGACAGATATACCGACGTAAATATGGGAACACTGAATAAAGTACCCCCGTTTCTACGATGTTATATTGTGGACAATCATTATAGACCGGAGGCTCAGTGCGGGGGTGTCCATCAATTGTGGGCACAAAACCAGACCCACCTTTTCTTAGTAAATTTTTTCGTAGAATACGTTGCCTTGTGATAAACAGTCCGCCGTTGGGCGTTGTCGAGATATTCGGGGTCAAGGGTCAAATGGGGCCATTTGCACTGAAAGTGAATGCGGACGGTAAACACTAATAGAAGATGATGATGTATCGATTCACTAGAACGTCCATTAATGCGATATACAGGCTGTTCTTTTCTTTTCATTTGTGAATTCAGTATGTAAATCTAAATCATTGATTATTTCATTCCAAATCTAATTATCATCTTGGAATAGTTTCAATTAATTTTCTAAATATAATCTGTAATACAAGCCATCATTGCTATCTTTGTATTTGTTAGGCAAACTAGGTACATAACGGATGATGAGGACTGTTGGAGGGGGTACTATAGTCTTCTTCCTACCGACATTGTATAATCTTGAGTTACTTCACCCCGTCTGTTCATGTCCCGTTTATTCCCAATTTTACTGTTCCAGATGAGCATAAGATAAACAATAACCCTTTATTATTTTACAGGTGAACAATCTCCTGCACATATCAGAGTGGCACTCATTGGCAAGACTGGAGTTGGTAAAAGCCACTTGGGAAATTTACTTCTACATAGAGATTATTTTAAGTGCAGTAATTCGCTTCATTCGTGTACATCAGTCTGTTCAAATGGAGAACGCGCTTTAGATGAAGATACGAATTTGAACATCATGGATACTCCAGGTCTTTTTGATACAAGAGATAACAATACAGAAACGGTTAAAAAATTTCTTTCCATCTTCAAATTTACTGGTATTCACATATTTTTAATGGTTGTCAAAATTGATGTGAGGTTTACAGAAGAGGACGAAAATGCCCTGCGGTCTCTATGCGACGTGTTTGGCGAAGACATAAATGACCATCTTATTGTCATAATGAATAACCAGAGCCAGGGGATCAAATCCAAAGAAAACTTGCTTCCTGAATTACCGACGTCGTTAAAAGATATTTTAGATCGTTGTAAATACAGATGTTTAGTTGTAAATTATGTTACTGATGTCACGGTCGATGGTAACGAAGAGATCGAAGCAATTATAAACACTATACAATCAACCGTTACTGGAAACAAAGGACGCTCTTATACACATCAAATGTACAAGGAAGCTGAAAAGGCATACACTGAAACATTTAAAAAACAAACATGTGATTTCGCGAAGACAATTAGACGACTTCAACGTGAAAATAATGAGTTGAAAAAATCTAGTCTATCAACTATAACACTACCAAAACCTAAACGAGAAAAAACTAAATACCAAACAGGTTCGTTCTAGAATTTACACTGTTTAATAAATAATGTGGGATTTTGTGATAGATGAAGAATTGACTAGTTGTCAGATCAATACTACCTGTAGGAATTGTTGCCTCCGCCTTTCGAAGAAAGCAGGGGACTATTAAAATGGGTTCGTGTGTCTGTCTGTCTATCCGTCACATTAACTCTCTTTTTAATTGAGCTAGAATGTTTAAACTTGGTGTATGTGTTTATTAGACCAATTCTGTGATGGAGTCCGAAGATGAGATAAGCAATTTGATTGCTTGGTGCTTTGGGACACGAAAACTTTAGTTCTTATTAATTGAGAGTGATAAAACTTGGTGTATAGTTTCATGACATCACAATGTAACCCAGGTATCATTTAATCGTCTGTATCTAGCACTACTTTCTTTCACAGATGTTTAATATCAAATTTGTTTGAAAAAAATTCGTAAAAACTGATTAAAATCACCATAAATCGTTTGATTTGTACTTCTGTCCATTTTAAAGCTGACCATTCAATTTTGATTATGAGTGTCCAATTTACAAGTGTTTAATTTCTAAATCACTGTTAATAAATGAACAATCCAATTGATAAATGATATATAATGATTAATTTTTGTACAGTGGTCAGGAAATTGAACACTTGTAAATTGAACAATCATTATCAAAATTAACCAGTCAGCTTTAAACTGGACACAAGTACAGATTAGAGCTGATGATTTTTGGTGATTTTAAACGATTTTTACGAATTTTTAAACAAAGATTTGATATTAAACGAATGTGAAAGAAATTAGTGCTAAATACACAAGATTAAATGATACCCAGGTTACAGTGTCAATACCTGTTCGATAATGAACATTTTCTGCTGAGAGTAAGCAGAGCGATAAGCAATTTGATTGGTCCAGACTTTAGAACACAATAACTCTCCTTCTAATTGAGGTAGAATGTTCAAACTTGGTGTAGGCGTTCATTAGTTGAACATTGCCTGCTTACGGTAAGCAGAGATAAGCGATCTGGTTGATGCTTTGGGGCACGATAACTTTGGTTCTAATGAAGTGAGAGCGATGGAACTCCGAATATAGATTCATTATATCATTACCTTGACTAAGTTTGATGGCGAGAATTTTCCGCTTAAGCAATTTGATTGGCCAAGACTTTGGAACATAACAACTCTACTTTTAAATGAGGCAGAATGTTTAAACTTGATGAAGATGTTCATTAGGTGAATGTCTCGACTGAGTTCGATGATTAACATTTTGAGCTGAAGCTAAGCAGAGCTAATCAATGTCATTGGTCGATGCTTTGGGACAAGATAATCTTGATTCTATCTGATAGAGAGTGATGAAACTTAGTGATTGTTCGATACTTTTGAAAAAAAATGAATGTGCGATTAATTAATACGTGTCATCTATTTATTTTGGGATTTCGGTGGGGGACATCCGCCTCACTGTTGGCTTGTTTATATATGAGGTATAATCAAGACACTACCTGCGCCCCTACAACAATGTAACGAATGCATGTTCATACTAAAGCAAATTAGTACTGTTACTATTATTTATCAAATAGCTTTTACCGAGAAATCATCTAACTAAATTGAATTGTCTGTACTTGGGTGGCCACTCTGTACATTGGAAAGGGGGCGGGGTGAAATTTTGGCTTTAGCCTTTAGCGGTCAAGCAACGCATTAAAACCAACCGATAGAAGGACAAAGCATGGAGGGATCGTAAAATCGAAGATGGTCGTCAAATAGCCACAGCACGACATATCCTTTCATAGCATTTCAGAAATAGCATTTGGTGTACCACTTATTCTCTTATCTTATTTTTTGACGTCTGTAAACTATTATAGACACCAAAATTGATACCCTAGCATGTATGGGCGGTTTATATAGAATTTCACCCTTCCCTGTAAAATGGCATGAGAGCATTAACATTTTTATAGCCAAGGGATTGTAGCTTCAATCTTTCGTTAGGGCTAAATTCCACAAGGAAATCCTAATTTGCTTTTACAATGTTTGGTCTGGATGAGTATGTATTCGTCGGTCAGATAGAGTGACACTTTTGTTTTGCTTTATTTTCATTATTATATCATTATACTTCAATATTCAGGTAGAAGAATATTATTAAAATTATTCCATTTCGTTTCGTTAAAGATGCCGAAAATTTACTTCATGATGCCTCAAGTAAGCAGTTTGTAGAGACAAGAGCTTTCAGAGAAGGGAGGCGTATTTTGGAAAAACATTTTATCTTGGGTATAATTGGCGCTGTAGGAGATGGTAAAACAGTAATGTGTCGGATGGTCGCCAATTCGTTCTTGACGGTTCATAAAAATTTTATTCCATTGGAAATAGGACACCCGAGGGACCTGGATTCCGTAACTTTTACAGATGAGGATAGCTACTTATTGATTATTGATGTAATGTTTGGTATATGGACACGTACAATAAAAGAACAAATGCAAGAATGGCCAAAAAATTTTGAGTTATTATATTTAGCAAAACAAAAACGTAAATCGGCAATAATCTATGTTATGAGACATGATGTCTACCAGGCTTGTCAGCATCTTCTTGGGAAGTATGAAATATTCTCTACATTATATCGGTTACAGCTTCATGAGACACAATTCCAGTTGTCAAATGATGAAAAAAGGGATATTTTGCGATACCATTTGGGAAACTGTTCCGACAATATGCTGGGGAAGATGGTGGAACACAGTTCAGGATGCTTTGGTTTTCCAGGTATTGTCAGTCTTTGTAGTAAAAGTAGTAAAACTTACACAGAAGAAGAAATTTGGATGCTAAATGGTCTATTTGATTTTTTGAACAGGGAATACGACATATTCTGGAAGGAAGATAGAATTAAGTATATGGCTTTATTTGTTGTATTTAGTCCACGGCCTCTCTCCGAGGATGGAATACGACAAAAGACGAATCACTTACTACAAAATCAGATACAACAAGCAATGGGGTATTCCGGTGGAGTAGAAGATATTCTCGATTCGTGCAAAAATTTAACTGGTTCTTACGTAATATGTGATGAGGAAAATGAGAAGCGCATGTCTTTATCAGAAAAGGTGATCAGACCCTTTCTGCTTCATGTCTCTCAGCGATTTATAGAACTGACAATAAAATTTTGTCCCTTTGATCTCTTAATAGATCACGTGTCTACCGTACCGGATGATCACAAGGTTTTCATAAAGTCCTCTCGTTATGTTGATCTATATGAAAGATTCTCTCGTGAATTGCAGGAGAAGAATGAAGCTGTGTTATTCCACCAAGCATTTCTTGACAGTAATTTCTTGCAAAAGGTACTTAATGTAGATAGTGGTGACATGCTGCTAAATCCCGAGCTAAAGATACAGCTTGGTGGTGATCCAATGGACGAGGGACATTTTCTGCATTATGTATGCTTATTTGGATATTTGAAAGAGATGCAAATAGTTTTCGCATACTCCAGCAAAACTACTGCAATTTTATGTGACATAAAAACAAAGCTTGGGTTGGATTTATTAAGCCTTGCCGTTAAATCCGAGAACGAGGCAAAAGATAAAATAAAATATTTACGTGATGAGAAAAATGTTATGGAATGCCAGAGTAAAACTGAAATTCAACAACTTATTCGTACAGCAGCCAAGGCAAACAATTTGGATACTCTGAAACATGTTAGTTCTTTTACAGATATTGACATTAGCTCTGTGGATCTTAACCAGCAAACTTTTCTACACCATGCCTGTGATTCGGATTATGACGTCCCAGAAATCGTCCAATATCTCATTGCAAAAGGCGCGGATGTCGAGGCAAAGGATAAAAATGGCTGCACTCCTCTAAATCTAGCAGTTAAACGAGGAAAATTCTTGACAATAGATTGTCTCATAAAACTAAAAGCTTCTGTCACCGTGGCTGACAAAGACAGCAAATTACCCATTCATGTAGCTGCCAACTCAAATGCAGGCCGTTTGGATATTGATACACCTGGTATAATAGAACTGTTGGTGGGCGCTGGATCACCTGTTAATGCTAAAGATGCTAGCGGTAGAACACCACTGGTAGAAGCCCATGCTAAATTTGACGAAAAGACGATTGGTGTGTTAATTAAAAAAGGAGCAGGTAAGATCCAGTCTTTAATCTTGTAAGGATTCCGACCCTGGTTGTGAAGATCTGTAACACCCTCGACATGTAAGCATCGCGTAGTTAAACGAAATGGGGTTTAACGTCCTACTGTTCTGCTCCTAACCTGGGCTAATGAAGACGGGCATACGCCATACAGTGTGCTATGAGGGAAATTTTGCCCGGACAGCGGCACTACGGCCTACTCTTATATCGAATTCCAACTGCCAAGGGATCTTTTACGTGCACGCCAATGTGTACACGGGACCTCGGTTTTTCGTCCCATACGAACGACTAGACAGCTTTCCTTGTCAGCCCCTCCGTCCTGCATCACTGACAAGGGAGAACCACGCCGGAAAATCTGGATGAACTTTCTCGGCCAATGCAGGGATCGAACACCCGACCTCCAGGCTAGCGAGCTAGCGTCTTACCCACTTAGCCACGTGATCCCCGCGTAGTTAAACAAGGTTTAATGAAAATAAATTGATTGTATATATGTACCTCTTTTACAGGTGCACCTCCGCTGCTTTAGGGCTGGCTTGTATTATAAAATATCCTTAAAATTAAAACCGAATGAATGAAGTCTTAACACGATTGTTTCTGCGCATGTCTAAAATACGTTATTAATTGTCGAATGGCATAATTTTGGGACATTTTAATAATGTGAATATCTCTGTGTTCTTTTAAATTTCGAATGTCATTGCTCGCATAATATATATATATATATACTGATGTCCAAAAGAAAGTATACACTGTGACTTTTGTGCTGCATCAACCAAAGTTGTTTTTCCATGGTATACGGTATTTGGGTAGAATGTCAATTTGTTTCACATTTTTATTTTGCTTAGAAATGTTGAGTTTGGACGCAAGAGACAAACCCAGTAATGCTTTATCAAATGTTTTTAATCTAATCAAACCTTAGTGATACTGTTAGTGTGTATACTTTCTTTTGGACATCCAAACATATTTAAGAACGTTCGCTGCGCTTGTTCATACAATCTCTTCAATCTCCTCTAGATGATCGACAAGCCAAACACGTGCAATCAGATGCTATATATATTTTAAGTTTCAGCAACCTCGGATACAAATTATGGCCTCTTTTGGGTCAACAACCTAAAGTTTTTAAGTTTCGTTAAAATCGAATAGTAATTGGGACCTGTAAAGTGTTTACAAACAAATGCGGACGTATAAAATAGAACGATTTGGATAACATTTACACCAGTTCGTGCCCCGGGCCCCCATCCCCAAAAGAGTTTGGCGGATTCGTTTACACCCCCACCCCTGGACTTTGGTATTTAACTCATCAGAGTTTATATTGGAAATGACAAACATCTGTAGTAACAGATCAATCCTAAAGACTAACTTAAGCTCACCTAAGTAACTATTTTACAGTAGACCAAACTCCTTCGGTTGAACAACTTTCTACGGATGAACAGTTGTCTACAGATGGCCAATCTCTTATGGTTAAAGATCATTCTATAAATGAACAGTCTCATTCAAATGGAATTGATCTTACGGTTGAACAGCTTTCTACAAACGAACAGCTATCTACAGATGACCAGCTTCTTACAGCTGACAAACGTTCTGCAGATGGACAACCTACACGAGATCACAAAGGTAAGAATGCGTTTCTATGGTTTACCAACTTTGAGCATGTGCCAGCTTTTCCTATATTTATCGCATTAGTGGGTTCGTTTTGCCAAAAATGCGTCTTATGATCGAAATGGGTTTAACGTTCTAGTGTTCTGCTGCAACTGGGCTAACGAGGAAAATATTGTTCAGACAGCGCCTCAACGGCTTGAGCTTATTTCGAATTGAGTCGGGGCACCCAGATAGATAAATTGTAGTGATGACATTTAAATAGTAATCGTAAATGACAATGTAATTACATTGGCCATTTAATAGCCACATCCCTGAGTGTACTTCCTGTAAGTCTAATGCTACTTATTGGGAGTATAAAGATAATCTTCCTGTGTGTCGACGGGGACGTTAGATCATAAAGTCTGTCATTGAATCAAGTGGTGTTATGTGGTTTCCCTGCTTGTTACATAACAAGGAGTAGGGTCGCATGTCTAACATTGTTTCTTTCCTCCAACCATCTGTTTCCAAAAAAAGAACCTTGTTATCCTGTAGTATTACATTTTGAGCAAACATTAATACCATTTGACACAGGATAGGAAACGGGGATAAAAGCTCAAAGAGCTTGCAATGTACCGGTTCTAGTAAGGGACCTGGAAAAAATAAATGGCTGAATTAAGAAAAAAAAGGTCCAAAATTGTGAAAAATATATTCGATTTTGTGCATTCCTGTGTATATTCTTGGCGAGTAACACAAGTTAAATGAAAAATAAATATTGTGTATTTTTTTTGTATTAAAAAATAAGTTTCAAACATCAGTCTACCAAGTCGTACCAAAGCCAGGCATATCTAATTCAATTCTTGTACTCAACCATAAATGTTTGGGGGTCTGGGACATTTGTGGGTAAGACGCTACTCTGGAGGTCGCGGGTTTGCTCCCGGTGATGGCCGAGAAAGTTCATGAAGATTTTTCCGGTGTGGTTCCCCTTGGCAGTGGTGCAGGATGGACGGCCGTTCTAGGACAGCTGTTCCTGTCAGGCCTTCCGTCCTGTATCACTGACAAGGGGGAACCACGCCGGAAAATTTGGATTAACTTTCTCCGGGATACCATTTTAGAAACATTGATATTCAAATGTAATGTCTATAACGATGTGAGATTCGTATTTCGTAAAACAATCACCTTCCACTCTTCCATGTCGTTCTGTTCATCATGCTTATTTAAAATCCCGAAGTTCTGAATTCATACTGCCATACACATATGTAAAGTAAGAATTGTTTATGCTAGGTTCCCAATACCACGAATCGTGTTTTTAATCGTGAAGTAATCGTGGTGATCCTATCAGGTCTTATCATATATTGAGGTCAGTCGTAGCAATCGTGTTGAGCGTATCGAAATGTATCCGAGCGTATCTGCACGTACCAGATCGTAGACTCAATAGAGACAATCCTATCATAATGCATCGCACGACAGTGGGAACCTAGCATTACGAAACTCAGGCCCGCCAACGAAAACAAGCTTTGCAGGTACCAATAAAGGACATGCTCTGTAACTCATCTCATAACAGATTCATCTACCAATACCCTCTTGCCTCATATATGTATTGCTGTATTATATTGATAACGTGGAGGGAATACTCATCAAAACATTAGGGCTGCAACGATTCACAACTACCTCGATTCAGTTCGGTTCGATTATCGATTTTAACCATTGATTCGATTATTTTCGATTCGATTATCAGCTACAATAACCAGTAATTTTTCCTGTATATAATTCATTAAAAACAATAAAAACACAAGACTAAAATTCTCTTGAACACTTTTATTGGTTTGACAGGTTTGTTGTGTTGCCACATCTTCAGAGTTTTTTCTTACATCAAAATGATCCCAAACTTTAGATTTCAAATGACCAGGTGGTCGAGAAAGTACGTCGTCTGCCGTAATTTTACCTTCCAGTCTTTACTTGACGACGGGTAATAATCGCTAAACACGAAAATATCCGAAGATAATGACCGGAATTATCAGCTAATGAGATCGTTTAGAATTTAGATAACCATTACCGAAGCTATTGACCTAAATTAATATCCAATGAACATTCGGTACGTCACCAATTTTAAATAAATTAACTTTCGTCAGCATACGGAAATTGTTTTAAAGGGAGGTCACTCTGTTTTAGTTATGTTTTCGAGTGACATTCGTGTTTTGTTAACTAGGCTAACGTAAATTAAAAGTTATGTAAAAACAAAGGTTTTTTTAAATTTTAAGTGGACTTAATTGCTACAAGTCTTTCATTTTTTTTCATATGGTAAGGTGTACGTTGTTTTTATTTGAAATTTAATTTGCAATTAAACCGAATCGAAATTTGAACGTTGTAGATCGTGGATCGAACCGAGACGGCTAGTGTCGGTTATCGGTGCACCGAACTGAATCGTTGCAGCTCTACAAAACATCACTTTAAAATACCAGAGGCGCCCCGCCCCCCCTAATTTTCGACAGTGCCCTTTTTTACTGCTGAAAGTGCCCTTTTGTCAGACCCAAATATGTCCATTCCCAACCCATTGCAGGGATCCCAAATGACTCAAACCATCGATTCAAACACACCAGTCTGGTCTAATTAATGCTTCCACTTTCAAACGAATTCTTGTTGTTTAGCTGACGGTGCCCTAATCCTTTGTGGAATCGGCGGCGTATACACTCGTGCCCATCACCGACGCGCATGAGTGCAACTTGATGTAGCATTGTTTCATGTGTGGACAGTACAAGTTACAAGGCTTAAATAGGCATGAATTGGCTAGGGAATAGATTCGTCTTTTTTCCCATCATGATGCCTCGCTCGCCTTGACGATTTTCGAGTCACATGTTCAACTGCCTTTTTTGCTCGATTTTAAGGCTCTTTTTCAACGATTTCCGAACGTTTACTTAGACGAAAATATCAGCCAAATAGCTCTTGAAATGGCTACAGATGCAAGGAAATGACGGATAATTTTCTTGGGGACCCCCCCCCCCCCAAAAAAAAAAATCCCCTCTCAGCGGCGTGCCCTGTCTCTGCGGTCAGTGCCCTTATTTTGCGGCGACCCCCCCATTTCAAAATTCCTAGATCCGCCCCTGAATACACTAGTAGCTGTTTTCCATCAGTATGTGTTTTTGATTTTAATACTCTTTTGTTAATATTTATAACCATTTCTTGTAGATGATGTTGAAGCAACCGCGAGGGAAAAAAAGAACCAGATAGAAGATTCCAGCAACGAATTTCCGCTCCATCATTCAGCGTATGTTGACGATATACATAAATTCATATCAGTATTAGACCAGTATAAAGATAGTATAAAAATAGTAGATAACGATGGTAAAACGCCTTTAGAAAGAGCTTGTTTTTCTGAATTTGAAATTGTACATAAAGTAAAGCTTCTTGTTTTTAGAGGTTATACATCCTGTAAAATGCTTGTTAATATATGTCAATCAGCCCCAAATGATTTACTTAAACTTATATTTGATAAAACTATATATGATACAATGAACGAATTTGATCAAACCGGGATACTAGAGATTAGAAACCGTTTATTACAAGGTGGAGGTTTAGATGATCTAGATACAAACAAAAAAACATTATTGCATTATGCCTGTCAATATAGCACTTTAACGACTGTTCAGTATTTGATTGATAATAACTGTAACGTGAACTGTGTAGGTGGTAAGTATAAAAGAACACCAGTATTCTATTGCTGTTATAAAGATGTACCTCAAGCAGTTGAAAAGATGCAAATCTTGGTGAGTAATGGAGCTAATTTAGATGTTACAGATATGGATAAGACACCCCTGTTACATAGAGCTTGCTATCTAAGTACAGTAGAGGCTGTTCAGTGTTTGATTGATAATAACTGTAATGTGAATTGTGTAGGTGGTAAGTATAATAGAACACCACTATTCTATTGTTGTCATAAAGTTGTACCACAAGCGGTTGAAAAGATGCAAATCTTGGTGAGTAATGGAGCTAATTTAGATGTTACAGATATAGATAAGACATCCCTGTTACATAAAGCTTGTTTGTTAAGTACAGTAGAGGCTGTTCAGTATTTGATTGATAATAACTGTAACGTGAACTGTGTAGGTGGTAAGTATAAAATGACACCAGTATTCTATTGCTGTTATAAAGATGTACCTCAAGCAGTTGAAAAGATGCAAATCTTGGTGAGTAATGGAGCTAATTTAGATGTTACAGATATGGATAAGACACCCCTGTTACATAGAGCTTGTGCGTTAAGTACAGTAGAGGCTGTTCAGTTTTTGATTGATAATAACTGTAATGTGAATGGTGTAGGTGGTAAGTATAATAGAACACCACTATTCTATTGTTGGGATAAAGATGTACCACAATTGGTTGAAAAGATGCAAATCTTAGTGAGTAATGGAGCTAATTTAGATGTTACAGATATAGATAAGACATCCCTGTTACATAAAGCTTGTTTGTTAAGTACAGTAGAGGCTGTTCAGTTTTTGATTGATAATAACTGTAATGTGAATTGTGTAGGTGGTAAGTATGATAGAACACCACTATTCTATTGTTGTGATAAAGATGTACCACAAGCGGTTGAAAAGATGCAAGTTTTGGTGAGTAATGGAGCTAATTTAGATGTTACAGATATAAATAAGACACCCCTGTTACATAGAGCTTGCTATCGAAGTACAGTAGAGGCTGTTCAGTGTTTGATTGATAATAACTGTAATGTGAACTGTGTAGGTGGTAAGTATAAAATGACACCAGTATTCTATTGTTGTGATAAAGATGTACCACAAGCGGTTGAAAAGATGCAAATCTTGGTGAGTAATGGAGCTAATTTAGATGTTACAGATATGGATAAGACACCCCTGTTACATAGAGCTTGTGCGTTAAGTACAGTAGAGGCTGTTCAGTTTTTGATTGATAATAACTGTAATGTGAATTGTGTAGGTGGTAAGTATGATAGAACACCACTATTCTATTGTTGTGATAAAGATGTACCACAAGCGGTTGAAAAGATGCAAGTTTTGGTGAGTAATGGAGCTAATTTAGATGTTACAGATATAGATAAGACATCCCTGTTACATAAAGCTTGTTTGTTAAGTACAGTAGAGGCTGTTCAGTTTTTGATTGATAATAACTGTAATGTGAATTGTGTAGGTGGTAAGTATGATAGAACACCACTATTCTATTGTTGTGATAAAGATGTACCACAAGCGGTTGAAAAGATGCAAGTTTTGGTGAGTAATGGAGCTAATTTAGATGTTACAGATATAGATAAGACACCCCTGTTACATAGAGCTTGTGCGTTAAGTACAGTAGAGGCTGTTCAGTTTTTGATTGATAATAACTGTAATGTGAATGGTGTAGGTGATAAGTATAATAGAACACCACTATTCTATTGTTGGGATAAAGATGTACCACAATTGGTTGAAAAGATGCAAATCTTAGTGAGTAATGGAGCTAATTTAGATGTTACAGATATAGATAAGACATCCCTGTTACATAAAGCTTGTTTGTTAAGTACAGTAGAGGCTGTTCAGTTTTTGATTGATAATAACTGTAATGTGAATTGTGTAGGTGGTAAGTATGATAGAACACCACTATTCTATTGTTGTGATAAAGATGTACCACAAGCGGTTGAAAAGATGCAAGTTTTGGTGAGTAATGGAGCTAATTTAGATGTTACAGATATAGATAAGACACCCCTGTTACATAGAGCTTGTGCGTTAAGTACAGTAGAGGCTGTTCAGTGTTTGATTGATAATAACTGTAATGTGAACTGTGTAGGTGGTAAGTATAAAATGACACCAGTATTCTATTGTTGTGATAAAGATGTACCACAAGCGGTTGAAAAGATGCAAGTTTTGGTGAGTAATGGAGCTAATTTAGATGTTACAGATATAGATAAGACACCCCTGTTACATAGAGCTTGTGCGTTAAGTACAGTAGAGGCTGTTCAGTTTTTGATTGATAATAACTGTAATGTGAATTGTGTAGGTGGTAAGTATAATAGAACACCACTATTCTATTGTTGTCATAAAGATGTACCACAAGCGGTTGAAAAGATGCAAATCTTGGTGAGTAATGGAGCTAATTTAGATGTTACAGATATAGATAAGACATCCCTGTTACATAAAGCTTGTTTGTTAAGTACAGTAGAGGCTGTTCAGTTTTTGATTGATAATAACTGTAATGTGAATTGTGTAGGTGGTAAGTATGATAGAACACCACTATTCTATTGTTGTGATAAAGATGTACCACAAGCGGTTGAAAAGATGCAAGTTTTGGTGAGTAATGGAGCTAATTTAGATGTTACAGATATAGATAAGACACCCCTGTTACATAGAGCTTGTTTGTTAAGTACAGTAGAGGCTGTTCAGTTTTTGATTGATAATAACTGTAATGTGAATTGTGTAGGTGGTAAGTATAATAGAACACCACTATTCTATTGTTGTCATAAAGATGTACCACAAGCGGTTGAAAAGATGCAAATCTTGGTGAGTAATGGAGCTAATTTAGATGTTACAGATATAGATAAGACATCCCTGTTACATAGAGCTTGCTATCGAAGTACAGTAGAGGCTGTTCAGTGTTTGATTGATAATAACTGTAATGTGAACTGTGTAGGTGGTAAGTATAAAATGATACCAGTATTCTATTGTTGTGATAAAGATGTACCACAAGCGGTTGAAAAGATGCAAATCTTGGTGAGTAATGGAGCTAATTTAGATGTTACAGATATAGATAAGACACCCCTGTTACATAGAGCTTGTGCGTTAAGTACAGTAGAGGCTGTTCAGTTTTTGATTGATAATAACTGTAATGTGAATTGTGTAGGTGGTAAGAAAAATAGAACACCACTATTCTATTGTTGTGATAAAGATGTACCAAAAGCAGTTGAAAAGATGCAAGTTTTGGTGAGTAATGGAGCCAAGTTAGCCTTTATTGATAACAAGAACTTCACACCACTGCACCGGGCATGTGAATTTAGTACGTTAGAAGTGGTAAAGTATTTACTAGATAGTAATTGTAATGTGAAGTATAAGGCTGGTAGGTACAATAACAAATCAGTATTCTACAGCTGCTGTATCTCAGAAACACACCGTATTGATAAGATTAAACTATTGCTGTCTCGTGGAGCTGTATTAGAGGAAGCTGAAAAGTCATCTTGCATTAATAGGGCAAAATCCCTTGGTTATTATGACACTGTAGAATTTGTGAAGACAATACCCGTTAAAAGATAGTAGCAGTTCAGCTGGTGATCATACTGTCATTGCAGCCACGTCCGTTAATATTTGTTGCCATTGGTAGAATTAATAAAGTATAATTTCAAGAACAAATGATATCAATGTGCGTTTGAGATGTGCTTATCATTCTACCAAGGTATTTATTTGTTTAGAAATATACTTGTTCTAATATTATATTAAACACTATTTATTTAAACGGAAAATCAAGCCGATATTTTTAAGCTGATATGTTCCGTGTCAGTGGAATGCCTGGCGTATTGTTAACTTTAATACTCGTATTAATTAGATGAAACGCTGTTTAATGTTACGTCAGCACGTATTGAAATATGTATCTACCCTCTCTTGCCGAATAGTGTAACGCGTGGTGTACCTCGTGGCATAACGCGCGTACTTTAGTGTTTAACGCCCGCTTCCACCGAAGGTGATATCGCAGACAAGTTTTATTTTTCATTATCTTAGCGCACGCGCATAGGTCTTTCATGTGGGAGGAAACCGGAGTACAGTACCCCCACAAGGTTGAGAAGGCGCCTCTATTTCCAAGCCACATACGCTCACACCAGGGATCAAAGCCACAACCGCAAGAGGTGACCGGCCAGCTAGAGGTCGACCATCCCAGGACCCCTGCAGGCTACTTTAGACCAATCAACTGATCTATATATAAACTGGATTGCTCATGACGCAGGCCAATCAATGACGTAAGTTCAAGCCACCTTGGTGTTTCTCGGTGCCCCCCCCCCCCCGGTTTCCTCTCACTGCTAACGACCCTTACACGCACACAAATCATTGAAATAAAAATCAACCTTCTGTTCGTCCTGAAATGACTTAGTTTGTGAAGATTTGACGTTAAAACCCGTTTTACTTTCTTCTACTTACATATTAACTGAACCTAACCAGTATTTAATAAAACGGGTTCAATATCGGTTAACTCATCCATTTATTAAAAATACATTATGTAAGATTTAGATAAAAAGCTGACCGTTCTCGTTATAATAGTTTAAAGATACATAATGGAAAAGGAATATGTTAGACATTTCAGTCAAATTACTTCCTTCTGAGCAGGGTTATGAATGTTTATGTAGCTGAGCAGGGGGGGGGGGGCTGCGCCTGTGACCGTTCTCGTTATAATAGTTTAAAGATACATTTCTGTCAAATAACTTCATTCTGAGCAGGGTTATGAATGTTTGAAAAATAGCGGATGTTTCGATTTTCATTGCTACCGTTGTTATCGATTATTGATTTTTACATTAAATTATTAACCGCCAATCGTGTTTAAATCCGTTGAAAATCAAGAGCATCCGATATCATAGAGAGTTGATTATGTCTTGACAAGTTAATACATGTCTAATTAATAATTTATATAACATTTGACGCCACGCGAAAGGCAGATTTAGATCTTTAAGATCAACTTGAGTGAATCATCAAAGAAATTGTATATCTTTTAAACACATATAAAAGAAAGTATGATTGTTGATTCGCTATATATAGAAAACAAAACGGTTGTAATAACCACCTATTTGTGGTGCTATTTAGTTTGTATTTGGTGCATCATTAATAATTATTGCGTTGTTATGAAAACATCTTAGAACATATCATAGACTAACCCTGGTCAAAACTATATAAAGACAATCATAACTAAGCATCTGCGATATCACCTCGGTGGAAGCGGACGTAAAATACAACTAACTAACAACAACTAAGCATCTCCCGTTATTTATACTCTATACTCGTCAGATAATCACCATCTTATTTACGATACCACTTATCACCTGAACAGTTCACATAGCTAACATATTTTAAGGTATATATGTTTGCATTTACGCCAAACAGGGAGTTGGCATACATGCTAAATGTTGGTTATAATATGATCTATAGAAACAATATGATAATTGTATAACCTTTATAAACAATATGATAATAGACGGCTGTATAACCTTTATAAACAATATGATAATAGACGGCTGTCTAGACGGCTGTATAACCTTTATAAACAATATGATAATAGACGGCTGTATAACCTTTAGAAACAATATGCTTTACTACACAAGGCTATAACCTCTATGAACAATGGTATCTTAATAGACCCGTTTATTGCTTACATGTCTATTGCCTATTGCACATTAACACGCGTCTTAATACGAATTATATTATACTATACTTGTTTCTTATCTCATCTTCATAATATCATTCTTTATAAATTGTTACCTTGTCTTAATATAATTGTTACCTTGTCTTAATGTTATCATTCTTTAGAAATTGTTACCTTATCTTAACATTATAATTCGTTATTTATGTTACCATGTCTTAATATTATCATTCTTTATAATTGTTACCTTAACTTACCATTATAATTCGTTATAAATGTTACCATGTCTTAATATTATCATTCTTTATAAATTGTTACCTTATCTTACCATTATAATTCTTTATAAATTGTTACCATGTCTCAATATTATCATTCTTTAAAACTGTTCCAAGTCTTACCATTATAATTCGTTATAAATGTTAACTTATCGTAATATTATTATTCTTTATAAATTGTTACCTCATCTTAATAATATCATTCTTGGAATCTTACCTTATCTAAATATTATCATTCTTTATAATTTTTACCTTATCTTAACATTGTAATTCATAATAAATGTTACCTTATCTTAATATTATCATTGTTTATAATTGTTACCTTATCGTAATGTTAGGTATAGAACAGGTTTTTTTTAAAAAACCAGTGATAATCACATTATTTAACTCACACTGATTCCAAACGCTATGAGATATTATCTTACCCTGTGTTATCAACCTGTGTCAGTTATCAAAGATCTAATATATCATCTTACTCTGTAGTAGTTATCAAATATACCATATTATCATGTGCTTGTTATCAAAGATACGATATGTTATCCTACTCTGTGCTATTTATCAGATACGCATGTTATCCCACCCTGTGCCAGTTATCAAAGATATATGTTATCAAAGATACTATGTTATCCTACAGTGTGTTGGTTATCAAAGTTGTGATATATTATCTTAACCTGTGCTAGTTATCAAAGATATAATATATTATCTTATTCTGTGCTAGTTATGATATATTCTATAATTCACACTTATGGAAGAACTATTACTAATTTATTTTGGCCCCGTATCTTGCTTCTGATCTTGCTGATATCCTACGAGGTTTCTGATTTGGTGTTATTGCCCTGCACAATTGTGACTCTACTTGCTTTGAAACGTTGAGAGAATACTCTTCGACACATTGTCCCCAAAATAAATTAGTAGTTATTCTTCCATATGCGTTATAGTTATCATTCTACCCAGTTACTAAATACCACTAGAGGATTATTGTATCAAACAATATGTCAAACGTACTGTAAAATAGATGTATATATGTCATAGTTAATAAATTGAAATATTCACTATATTAAGGTATACATGTTGGCAGCCATCTTTGTTGTTTTGTTCATTTACATTGTTAAAATCTATACAATCTGCTTAAAATACAGATCTATATTTCGTTCCGTTGATGTTTCTAGTTCTTACCCACAGTTCCGTGCACCGCACGCCAAGAACTCGTCGTAACAGGCCGTTTCATTGCATAATCCTTTCATTGCACATCAACCAGAACATGGGTTATACAACAACTCTTCCAGATCCTAGTGTAGTAAAGACAAGTAAAACAAAATGTTGAACTATAAAAAACGAACGAAATAGGATCTGTGTTTAATCAGATTATAATCTACACCCACAAAATTGAAATGAGGTTTAACATCCTCCTGGCTATAATTATTGGCACATTATTCATCCCACCGACAGGTTATGTAGGGGGATAGTCCGCCAGAGTGTCTACAAGCTATGTAGGGCGATGGTCCGTCAGGGTGTACACCAGCTATGTAGGGAGATAATCCGTTAGAGCGTTCACACACTCTGTAGGGGGATAGTACGCTAGAGTGTCCACCAGCTATGTAGGTGGATAATCCGTTAGTCCGCTAGGGTGTCCACAAGCTATGTAGGTGGATAGTCTGCTACCAGCGCATGGAAGTAAAGCATGAGAAGAGAAATGAAATGAAATGGGGTTAAGGTCATACTATTCAGCTCCGACTGAGATATTGGAGATAGGCAAACGCTATACAGTGTGCTATGGGGGAAATTGTGCCCAAATAGCAGCGCTACGGGCTACTCTTATATTGAAGGCTGATTGACTAAGGTCCCTTTACGTTCAGACAAACGACGCCATTTCGATGAATGCAGGAGAAAAAACATACACACTGCGTACACGTGATTAATTTACCCAAGCCATCGCTTCGAAACCAGCTATAATTATTTAGTAAGAGTAGCAGA